TGCATCATGTGCTTTACTGTTCTAATTTAAACACCTACCATAGGTGAGTGGGATACGAGTTGCTGTTGAAAGCAATTCAGCAAAGACTTATTGGTCACCCACTCTGTGCTGGGCTCTGTACTGGACCCCGGGGGTGAATCAGCAAAAAGGCCAGGGTTGCAGGGATGTTGGGTTACACTGCTCCAGGGGATGCCATTCATACTGAAGTTTATATGAATGGCGGCCCCTGGAGTTGTTGAGTGTAAAGCCTGGGTGGCGGTGTGCAGTGGCCCTGCAGATGTGGTCCCTGCCCTCGTGGAGCTGATAGTCTAGTAGGGAAGACAAGTGTGAATCATTGAATTGAGTGGAAATTGACATCATTAATACTATTATTATTGTTGTTTTTGTTGGAAGAGGGCAGAAGGAGGCAGGAAGGGATTGGAATCTCTCTTGCCCACCCTCTACCGCCCTTCCCTATGTTAAATATCAGAAACACTGTCTTAGCTCGGGCTGCGATAACAGAATGCCTTAGACAGGGTGGCTTAACAACAGACATTTATTTCTCACAGTTCTGGAGGCTGGGAAGCCTGAGATTAGGGTGCCAGCATGATTGTGTTTGGTGAGGACCCTCTTCCTGGCTTGCAAACAGTAGCCTTCTTGCTGTCTCCTCTCATGGGGGGGTCGGGGGTGGGGGGTGTGTGCAACGGAGTGCGCTCTCCTGTCTCTTCTTTTAAGGGCACTAATCTCATCATGAGGGCTCCACTCTCAGGACCTAATGACCTCCCCAAAGTCCCATCTCCAAATGCTGTCCCACTGGGGGCTAGAGCTTCAACATGTGAATTTCCAGGGTGAAACAATTCAAACTTAGCAAACACTCAACTTGGCTTTCTTTCAGGGGCAGCTTTAGGCACAGTGTAACTGTGAGGAAAATGAAAACGTTCCCCCACCTGCCAAACGCTGCCCCTGCCTGCCAGTTAGAAGAAAACACCATGCGAATGGGAGATGGCTTTCCATGCCACAGTTCGAGTTAAACCTGCTTAAATGCAAACAGGAGGAAGTTAGCATGCCGGTGTAGATGAGTTTTAATGTGTGTTTGTGGAAGTATGGGCAGCTGAGTGAGACGGCAGGCAATCCAGGTGCCCACAGAGAAGAGGGGCCCTGGAGGGGCGAGGGGCCTGAAGGGGCCAGAAAGCCTGCCACAGGCCAGGGCTTCGTGCATTATCTCTGCTTATCTCTCTTTATGTGCACAAATAGCAGTGATGGGCCAAGGTCCTGTTTTTACAGCCAAAGGGGACTTGTGGCCATGCAGTGGGAACGGAGAGAAAGGGCCAACTCCCTGAGAAATGAAAGAATCCAGTGCCAGATGGGATGAAAGAAAAGGAAGGGCCAAGGACGACTTGTTAGGGAGAGGCAGGAGCAGCATTCCCTCAGGCCCCCCACCCCCATCCCTAGAAGAATGGAGACTGGGGAGGGAGCAGGCTTCTGGCAGGAGATGAGGAATTTGCTTTTGGACACGTGATTGAGATATGGCAGGACACCTGTCCTTGGGTCAGAACACAGGACTAGAGGGACATGAAGAGGGAGGGGCCCCAGGTGTCTGGCTTGGAGGGTTGGACCTGAGAGTCAGCTCAGAATAGTGGATGTGGAATCTAAGAGAACAGGCGAGATTTCAAGAGGGGGAGGTGGAAGCACGAAGAAGGGGAGCAGAGGGGCTTGGAGGGGCTGTAATGGGCCCTGAAAATCGCATTTGGAGCCTAGTGGGCAATCATTTTGGAGAAGTCTCATTTTCTGCTGTAGGTCCTCTTTGGCCCCCTGGAAGCCATTGCTTCACACGTACGCTCAAGGAGGGTCACTGGAAAGCTCTCAGAGCTAGGATGGCTCCCTCACTCCAGATGGGATTGCTCAGGGATCCCACCCCTCGCAATGCCCCTGGACCCGGGCAGCCAGCAGGGCTCCCAGCAGCAGGCTGTTGGGGGGTTCCTGCTCTGGCAGAGAGCCCAGCGATTCGTTCCTTTTGCTTTCCCCACTTCTGATTGCAGCCTTGAGTAGCCTGGAGTCAGTTGTTGATGAGAACATCATTCTACTCTGCCTGTGCCAGCTTCTTCGAGCCTGAGACATCTATCATCCCGTGGTAATCCAGCTCCCTAGGTTTGGGGCAGACAGGTGATGGCTGAGGCCGGGCTGGTCACCACTCCACAAAATGAGTCATTCCCTGTCAGACTGTCTCTTCTGCTCCCTCTGCCCCTTGCAACTTGAATGCAAATATCC